TCCTAGGAAATGGATTCTTTGTTCTCTCGCTGTGATTATTAACGTTTCTAACTGGTAAGAAGACTCCTTTTTGTTTGTTTGTTCTGCTTATCTATTGCCAAAGGGGGGGGGGCGATTCCCTGAAGCCTGACAGCCGGCCAGTCAGTTATGACCCCTCTCCACTGTATCTCATTGCATTTCCTGATCTTTCTTTTTTCAGTCCCCGCCAGCACCTCCTGTTCGGGGTACTCCATTCCATTTTCCCGCCCCAACAGTGAGGGCTCATCCACGCATCTACCTAGAAAGCACGGGTCCAAGTGGTTTCCATTTGCCCCACTCACCACTTTAGCATGGAATCGGGAAAATGTCAAACTGCAGAAAACCCAATTGACATTTGCTCCAATTCAACCCTAAAGGGCAGGTTTTCCGAGGGGGTAAGTGGTGGGGGAAGCTGGACGAGCCCTGATGAGTCAGCATTCTGTGGCCACTGAACACACTCTGTCCTGATTGGGCTGTTGTGCATCAATGGGAACACCCCCTGATGCTTAACCCAGGGCGGATTCACACATTCGTATTTTCAAGTGTACACCTAAAAATGTAATGTGCGAATGAGACAGACTCATGCTGGGAAATGCATTGTTAGAATGTGTCAAGGCTGATGGTTCATCTGCAGAAGGTGCCCTCTGTGGGAAGTCTGGATTTGTATGGAACTGCTTGATGATGTTGCTCGAATGTCTATGTTTGAATGAAGTCTATGAGTTAAAGCTCAAATGCACACAGCAGAGGCAGCCAGGTTTGCTATGCACGGTCTGCCCCCCAACTCATGTGCAAAGCAGGGTTTGTGGAGTTTTGCATCAAAAGCTGCACATGGGCTCCATTGCTTCAGACCCTTCTCTCCCCAGAGTGGCTCATTTCTGGCATTATTGGAATGAGTTAAAAGTGCTGGCGGTGACAAATCCCAGAAACGAAACGTAGGACAGGACTGAGGGTAGGGATGGGAGAGAGAAAAAATGCATTTAAAGACAGACCTACCTAATTCACACTTTCTGAAACAATGGCTTGTCCCTGGGAAGGACCATTCTCTGGTGCTCATTAGGAACAAATGGCAATCGGGGTTTTCTCCTAACATTTGCTACGAATGAGCAATAATGAGCAGGGTTCCACTGGGAAAGGAGTAGGGCAAGTGGAAGACTGCTCTGAGCATAGGAGCCGACTCCTAGGAGCCAAGGTCCCTTCAGCCCCTCCCCCAATAAAATATTTGAGGGGTCTGCCCCCCCAGACTGGGCATAAATTGCCAGTCAAATGGTGTGCTTTGTGACTGGTGATGCAGACCAGGGCTTACCTGCTTCGTTCCCAGATCCATGCTTCCTAGGCACGGCACAAGCGGAAGTGTGGATGAGTCCAATATGGGCACCGAAACAACAGCCATCCTTCTAAATTCACACTTCTCTTCATTATGCAGTGCAGTTCTCGAGCCAAATAATGTGTGAAAACTGCACAAACCTCCAGGCTTGACTACTGTAATTTGTTCTACGCGGGGCTGCCCTTGAGTCTGTCCCAGAAACTCCAGCGGGTGCAGAATGCTGCAGCGAGGCTCCTCACGGGGTCTCTGCCATGGGAGCATATTCACCCAGTGCTTTTCCAGCTGCACTGGCTGCCGGTGGAGTACAGGGTCAGATTTAAGGTGCTGCTTTTGACCTTTAAAGCCCTTCACGGCCTTGGACCCTCGTACCTACGGGACCGCCTCTTCCGGTATGCCCCATGGAGGACCTTAAGGTCCATAAATAGCAACACCCTAGAGGTTCTGGGCCCTAAGGAAGTCAGATTAGCCTCAACCAGAGCCAGGGCCTTTTCAATACTGGCCCCAGCCTGGTGGCACGCTCTGTCTTATGAGACCAGGGCCCTGCGGGATCTGATTTCTTTCTGCAGGGCCTGTAAGACAGAGTTGTTCCGCCTGGCCTTTGGCTTAGAATCAGTTTGATTCCCTCCCCCTCTTTCTTTTTTCCTTTTTCCTCCTGTGAAGAGGCTGCATTTTAATGTTTTAATGTTGTATTTTAATCAACTTGTTTTTATTATTGGTTGTTAGCCGCCCTGAGCCCGGTCTTGGCTGGGGAGGGCGGGGTATAAATAAAATTTATTATTATTATTATTATTATTATTAACTAGGTCAAAGTGTGCATAAAAGCACACAAATTAGTGAAAAGAACATACAAGAAAAGCATTATATTAGGAGAAATGATTTGAAAAAAGGTGTATATTAGGAAACATTGCATCCAGACATGGGTATATTTAGAGAAATTCGTGGATGAAGACTTAAAAAAAATATATCAAACTGATGCGGAAATGTAGATCTGAACTTAAAACTGGAAAAATGAGAAACTGAGGAAAAATGAAATGGGCACATTTGCCCATCCACTGGTGGGGTTTTAACTTCTCTCACTCATGTGCCCTTTTATTTTATTTATTTTTATGTGTTGAATTTACATACTGCCCTATACCCGCAAGTCTTTTGTACCCAGGTAAAAATCTGACTCCCTCCCTTTGAGCAGAGCAAACATGTGAATAAACAATCATGGCTGCCCTGTAACGTCGAGGGAACGTGTGTGAGAAAGCATCGTTTCACGTGCCTTTAAGTGCTGTGTTTGTGCCTGTATCTGAACAAAATGTGTACATTTCAGATTAGGAGCTGGCACGGCCCTTTCCCTTAACTGATCCCAAATGCGTTTGCTCCGAGGTTGGAGACAGTTAAGAGAGTGTGGTTTCCTCCGCTTTAACTTTTCCAAAAGGCTCTTTTTGAAATTTTTACCTCCAACTTTTATCATCTGCGGAGCAACAGGAAGCAATCCTTATGGAGCCTTCCAGATGTTTTGGGGAACGGACACAGCTGGACCGACCGCACAGCCTGTGATGTCTAGGTAAGAGCCCCTGGAAGCATGGAAGCCTCAGATTTCGCCTGTCTGACCAGGCGTATTTTTAGAAATTAAGGTCACCCAAGCCTCACGAGATGGAGCTGAAACTGTTCCCCCTTGCGAGTGACGACGAGTTCCCTCCAGCTTCCCTTCACTGGCGAGGAAAACATGGCAACCCGGCTCAGAACAACCAAACAAAAGCAAAACGGGGAAGCTGTCTAGAGCCTCATCACCCACTGAGAAGCAGTGAGTCACCACCATGTGAAATTCTCCTCTCCCACATATATCCTTCCCTGGTCATCTGGTCTGCTAAGCCATACTGGGGGCTTGTAGCATCAAGCCGACAAACAAAACTACCCTTTCCTTTAGGTTGTGAGTTTCATGCCTGTCTTCCTTCATATTCTTCCCCCCTCCCTGTTGCAGCTTGCAGATTGCAGAGAAAAAGAAACGGAACCACACCCAGCAGGGATTTTTATTTTTCTTTACCATTCAAAAACCAGGAGTCTTGGATCCTCCAGACATAAAACAAAACTAACCGCTGTCATACGTAAATCAAGTACTTAATGTAAGAGGTGTTTTAGGCGACAGAAGTTGTTCCCAGATTACCTGCTTAATGAGCATTTATCCTGATTTGTTTGCACAAAGTTTGCAGGGAGGTTAGACTGTGCCAACTATTTATTGAGCATTCACCCTGATTTGCTTGCAAAGAGAATATACAACAGCTGCATACACAACATACATTTAAAGAACTCCCCCCAATGTTGGGCCAATGTTGAGCTTTTTTTAGGTTTGCAAAAATTCAAAGAAAAAAAGAGAGTTTTGGAGCTATTTTTAAGGAGATTCATGGGTCACCATACACCCAGATTTTCCCGGACACTTCAACAGTTTCTGCCCAGATGCTGTTTGCAAGGGCTGAATACTGGGTAAGATATTCCAGACGTATGGCAACCCTATTTAATACCCTCCCACCTGCTCTCCCATCTCACCCCCTCAAATTGTACCCTGCCTGCTTTGCAGCAAGGAAATGACGGCTGGGTTTCTGAGCCCCACATTTCCTGCCAAACGCATGGTTCATGCCTACTGTGTTTTTGCATGCCAATCACACACAGCACAGAGCTTCCCTCTGCCAACTCCAAATGTTACACATGCACCTACCATTCATGTAACCATTGCATCTCTCTGTCCCTCCCCTCCCCCTTTCTTCTTCAGACACACAGCTATTATTATTATTTTTTAGTGAACTGTGATTTCCTTGTGACTGGCTCTTCCTCCTCTGCCTTTTTTCAGGACTGTGAGGTACCTCCCAGATGGAAATACAGTCATACCTCTTGTTACGTTTGCTTCAAGTTAAGTCTTTTCAGGTTGTGTCCCGCGGCAACCTGGAAGTACTGGAAAGGGTTACTTCCAGGTTTCGCCACTCACACATGCGCAGATGCGCAAAATGACATCATGCGCATGCACAGAAGCTGCGAATTGCGACCCACATGTGCGCAGACGTGCAGGCGCAGGTTGCGTTCCTTTCAGGTTGCGAATGGGGCTCTGGAATGGATCCCGTTCGCAACTAGAGGTACCACTGTAGATCTAAACCACAGACTGTTAATGACTTCATGCCATCTCGTATATATGGAGGACAGGCCTTGCGACACTGTTTACCAAGGATAACTAGGTGGAACATCCATATACAGAAGCAGTACAGCAGATGTTAGGAAAACGACAACAGGGGAGAGCTGTTGTCTTCATGCCTTGCTTATAAGTTCCCCGAAGCGTCTGGCTAGCCACAGAGAACAGGGTCTTGTTGGAGGTGGCCCCACACTTCTAGAACTCTCCCCTGGAAGCATGAGTAGCCCCATGTTGTGAACATTGTAAGAAACAACTTAAAGCATGTTTGTTCCACCCTGCTTTTAATTAATTGCCCTTGCTTTATTTAATTGATGTGGATGTTCTGCCTGCAATTCAGTCTTAAGGGTGTGTGATGTGGTTTTAATTAAATGGTTATTTTATTGTCATTTTTATTGTTGTTGTACTCTATTAAATTTTGTATGTCACCTTGAAGGGGCGATTGCACCCAAAAAGGCAGTACATTAGGTAAATATGTTAAAATAAATATAACTGTTAAAGCCAGAATGCTGGATGCAATGAACCTTTGGTCCAGTCTTCTTCTTCTTCTTCTTCTTCTTCTTCTTCTTCTTCTTCTTCTCTTTCTTCAAGGCATGCAGCAGACAGCTCTTGCAAGTTCAACGAGGAACTGAAGCGCAGAAAGGAAAGTTTCCCCACAAGAGGTTGTTCCTGTTGGACAAGGCTGGGATGTCTACCCATGGCAACCAGAACCGATCTCAGCCCTGTAATTACAGAACAGCTATAGCCTCTCAGCTATTCCCAGAGTTTCTTGCAAATGTGCTGATCCTGAGCTTCCATCCGCTTAACCATTTTGGCTAACGGTTGTTTATGAGCCTGACTGTTCTACCTGGCAGAGTTACTATGCAAACTCACAAAAAGGCTGCCAGAAAACTGGCCCCGCTATAAGGCAGCCGTAGATTTTGGTTAGGACTCGCTAATGATTACCTCCTGGCAAATAGAAGGGGAAGAAATGGAGGCAGTGAGAGATTTTACTTTTTTGGGCTCCATGATCACTGCAGATGGTGACAGCAGTCACGAAATTAATAGACGCCTGCTCCTTGGGAGAAAGGCGATGGCAACTCTAGACCTCATCTTAAAATGTAGAGACATCACCTTGCCAACAAAGGTCCGTATAGTTAAAGCCATGGTTTTCCCAGTAGTGATGTATGGAAGTGAGAGCTGGACCATAAAGAAGGCTGATCGCCGAAGAATTGATGCTTTTGAATTATGGTGCTGGAGGAGACTCTTGAGAGTCCCATGGACTGCAAGAAGATCAAACGCATCCATTCTTAAGGAAATCAGCCCTGAATGCTCACTGGAAGGACAGATCGTGAAGCTGAGGCTCCAATACTTTGGCCACCTCATGAGAAGAGAAGACTCCCTGGAAAAGACCCTGATGTTGGGAAAGATGGAAGGCAGAAGGAGAAGGGGACGACAGAGGACAAGATGGTTGGACAGTGTTCTCGAAGCTACAAACATGAGTCTGACCAAACTGCGGGAGGCAGTGGAAGACAGGAGTGCCTGGCGTGCTCTGGTCCATGGGGTCACGAAGAGTCGGACACGACTAAACGACTAAACAACAACAACAACAACAATGATTATAATCATGATGAATAATAATTATCATGAATAATACTTCTATCAGAATTATTACACACCAGCACAAGAAGAAGAAGACCCACCTGGCCTCTCCTGGAGAATAGACCCATTTTTCATGTGGTTTCCTGGCCCATTTACTCTTTTGGTCTTCAAAATCCTGCATGGCAAAGATGAGTCATATTCTGGTTAAGATTAACTCCTTTCTGTTTGTTATAACCCCATCATCCCATTGGATACTGACATTCTTGTACCATGAGAAAAGTTTCCTAGAAACTTTCCTTGGGCCGTTCCTTTTCTTACACATAAAAAATGATCTGATATTGCAGAAAAAGCGAGAACTTTGAACTTTGGGGAGATTGCTTACTATCTAGAGATGCGATCCTGCTACTAAGAAACAGTTCTAAACAATTGATTTCCATTGGAGAGCCAGATTGAAATGGGCAGACTTAAAAATAAAATAAAAAAGCGGGGTGCGGGGAGAAGTGTTCAATTTTAGCTGGCCTATTTGAGGAGTTCTGCGAGGATTTGATCTTCAGATCCATTTGGTGGCTGGGCCAAGCAAGGGAATGACTGAAATTTTCGCATAATAACAAAAGGTTTAAAAGGTGCCAGTGATAACAGCAGAGATTCAAAAGCTTATTCAGGAAGAGAATGCAGTGGCATTTGGGCCTAGCTTGTTAGAAATGGAGTGTACAGGGCTGGGGGAGAGATTCGGTTCAGGCCTCATTCAAAGCCCAATTCATCAAATTCACATTTTCCAAAACAATATATGAACTGAAACGCAGCCGTCCTTCAAAATTTGCACATACCTGAATTTTACTATGTAGTTTGCCCACCAGGCAATGTTTATAAAAATCAAAATGTCAGGGGAAAGTGAGCATAAACATGACCATACTGGTGAAATTAACACACACAAATGTGTTATATTGGGGAAATTTAGCTTACAAAAATGTGTAAATAAGTCAAAACGGCATATACAAATGTGTTTATTAGGGGAAATTTGAGCTAAAATGCTGATGGGTTTTCGTGAGGATTTTTTTTTTTTAATTGTGAATTGCTGCAGTATTTGGAGAACTGGATTTGAAATTGGAAAAATACTGAGAGAACCTAAATGGACAGATCCTTGCATCCCTACACAGAGCATAATAAGACTGTAAGCACTAGTAACATTTTTGCAGTGGGAGATATGGTTAATGCCATGGAGGATAAATGCATGCATGGCTAGGGAAATTGTGGCCCTCCAGATTTGTTGGACTCCAGCAAACGCAATTCAGATGTGCAACACACACCTGTGTGCTGCGGAGCAGATTGCACAGAACAGTCAAATTGTAGGGTTGTCTCAGCCACGCTTCCTGTATCGCAGGCCCCTGGGACTCAGGGAGAGCAGCCTAGGAGATAATGGGATGGCATTTGGCAGAGCAGGGCAGCTATGGGAGCCCAGTGGCATGGACGTAGCCAGGGGGGCAGGGAGGGGCAGCTGCCCCCCTAAATCAATAAAAATCAATAAAAAAATACTTAACTAACTGGGGTTCTGTCCCCCCAACGTAAAGCCTGCTCCTTCTAACAATCCAATCCCCCAGTGGGATTCGAGTGGAGCTTAGAGGCAAGTGCTAAAGACAGGCAATGGCACTTGGAGGGTCAGTGGGTGGGAACTGGCTACCTAAGCTTATAATTTTTATTTATTAAATTTACCACCCATCAGCCAAAGATCTAAGCATGATGGCTCTGGCTGACATGGAGCCTAATGAACACATGAGTTCAGCTAATGGGAAAGAAAGCTCTCATCAAGGCAGGCAGGAAAATAGGCTGGTCTCTTTTGGTGCTGGCTCCTCACATCCTGATATTTTACTTCTTCTCCTACAGACCCTGAGAAATATCAGGTTATAAAATCCTGAAAGAAGAAGAAGAAGAAGAGTTTGGATTTGATATCCCGCTTTATCACTACCCTAGGGAGTCTCAAAGTGGCTAACAATCTCCTTTCTCTTCGTCCCCCACAACAAACACTCTGTGAGGTGAGTGGGGCTGAGAGACTTCAGAGAAGTGTGACTAGCCCAAGGTCACCCAGCAGCTGCATGTGGAGGAGTGGGGAATCGAACCCAGTTCACCAGATTACGAGTCCACCGCTCTGAACCACTACACCACACTGGTTCTCCTTTGGGCCAGCTTCAGAAACTTCGGGTCAGCTTCAGATTTTGCTCACAAATCTCTTGCATCACCTCTAGCTCTCAGTTTCTGAGAAGGATGTCTCTGTTTGCTTTTTGGTTGGGCTACCCATGTCTGTGTGTACAATTGGGGTGGGGGTGGAATATAATATAAGAGTCTGAATTTTCGGATTATGTTTCTGAATGTGCCAACGTACCAGCAACAATAAAAATCTACGAAGCAGAAATGCATGTATGTGAAAACACAGAATGCCACATAGTGTTCCAGGCAATGTAGAATGTAGCAGACAGAACGAACTGAAAATAAGAAGAAAAGTTATTGGAGGTGGGAATGATTGAAATTTTCGTAATGTAATGATCTTGCAAATAGTGGTAAGCTTATCATGGCATTTAAAGCACATACATGAATCCTGGCAACTGTAGTTTACCCCCACAGAGCTGCAGTTCCCAGCACCCTTAACAAAACTACAGTTTCCAAGATTCTTTGAAGGGGAAATGTGTTTTAAATGTATGGTGTGTGCACAGGAAACATTTTAAAGATTGTGCTAACTGGCAATTTTATTTTGTTTTAAATTAATCTTTATTGGTTTAAAATCAACACTTATATGCACAGCAAAAGCTTGAAAAAAGAAAACTAAAATGAAACAAAAAAAGCACGATACATCTCTTACAAACAATGCACAACAGAACAATACATCACAAATTCACAAAAATGTACCATCAACTTTCGACTTCCTTGATATGGGTTCTTTGTTTTCTCAATTACTTGCCTCTGTTTTCCAATTTTATCCTTATTAAATCTTGTTTGACTTCTTTATACCTTTAGCAATCCTGAGAGTTATTTGAAGCATTCTAAAAAATTTATATGGGGACACTGTTCTTTTAAATATTGTCTATAGATTTTTCATTCCCTTTTGAACTTTTGGATTGAACAATCTCTTATCTTTTCCGTCATATATGCTAATTCCATGTATTCCAGCATTTTTACTTGCCATTCCTCTTTTGATGGAGTTTTATCTCCTCTCCCTCCCCTGGCAATCAGCATTCTCGTTGCCGTTGTTGCATACAAAAAGATCCTTCTTTTCTCCCTTGGGATGTCTGACACCATTATTCCTAAGAGGAAGACTTCCAGTTTTTTATTAAACGCTATTTTGAACAGGTTTTTTTTTATTCACTGGCAATTTTAATGTATGGAAGAGCATTCAAAACATAATTTCACTACATGAACATTGGGTGAAAAAGTTACTTTTCCATGTCACAAAAAGTGACTTGTGAATTGGGCCATCAAATATGGGTGCAAATGAGGCTGCGTCATGAACAGAGAAGCCAGAAAGGGAGAGTAAGAATAGATCTCCCTTTGCATGTGCTCAGCACATTGGTTCTCCTCTATTCTTGGCTATGCTGATTTGGAGCATGGAGGAAATATAAAACCTCCCAATAATTGTATTTAGGAATGTAGAAGCATCACCATAGCAACCCTTCGTGACGACAAGAAGCCCACCATAGAGAGGTGGCAATATTTAGTCAGAACAACTCCAGAGAAGGCTTAACCCTTTGTGTACATATGACAGGCACAGTTTTAAGACAGAATACTACTCCTTAATTCCTACATCCAAGTAATTCATGAAAGTTATTGGATAGCTTTTGGAGATACCCACCTGAACACCATTTACTACCTCCTCTCATTTCGCTAGTGGGCCATTAATTACTTTTTGTTGAAAAAATACTTTAGACTAACATGTCTAATATATTACAATGCAAGCTTCCAGATTACATTTTTCCATCAGATATAAATGCTCCGGGAAGAATGAAATAAACCCACATGTTAAATGTTGCTTTTTAGACTAAAGGAACCAGAGGCAAGAACAGCCAATTTGATATCAGACCAGACGTTTGCTTTGCTTCTGTTAACACCGTTTCAATGGTAATAGTCTGAGAAACAGTCAAGTGAATTAAAGGCT